GTGGAGGGGGCGGCGGGGCCGGGAGCCGCTCGGGGGGGAGGGCCCTGCGACGGCCACACCCCGGACGCCCCGCCGCCCAACCCGCGAGGCCGCCGCGGCCCGTGGCCCCTGTCCACACCCCGGGCTCGCTCTCAGTGGGTGGGGGCTCCGGAGCGGGAAGTGGCTTCTCCACCCGGGTGTCCCGCGGCCGGGGCGCAGCTACGCACGTCCAGTCCGCACCCTCCCTTCGGTACCTGTTGCCGTCATACACGCGGGCACGTGCGCGCGCACACGCACACACACTGTGTACCTTCTGCCGACACACACACACACTCTGGTCAGGTTCTCCAGTGCAGCCTGAGACCTACCCCTGACAAGATTCTCGAGTGTCTTACAGCAGACCTGTCATGTTTGCGGAGGGCTCTCCACCCTTGGGGGGCTCCCAGGTCCCTGGGGAGGCGGCGGGCCCCTCCTGTCGGCCCTTCCAGACCCCCATCCAGCAGCGCTTGTACCCCGAGCTGGTGAGAGCCCTGTGTCTGTCTCCCTTCAGGACAGTGAGCTGATCAAGGGGAGCCCTGTGTCCTCACCCTAGTGCTCCCGGCACTGCACTGACAAGCTGTACCTTCTAGATTGAAACTGGGCTTCAACTACCTCCATTTTGACCTCAAACTCGCTAATTGATTAAATTCTTCCTTCTAGTTTCCCTGTTAACTCGGGCAGAAAACCCTGCAGGCAAGCATCCCGTGATGGAAACAAACCACCCCCTCAAGCAACAAGAACTGCCCTGAGCCAGCAAGACCAGGGTGACTGACTGCAAGACAGTGAGCAATTTGACCTTCGCTGCTCACTTGTGGGTACGCACCGACCTTTGTCCCACGTAAGCTTTATGTGAACTTAGAAGCAGGGCACCTGGGTGGCTGAATCGGTTAAGTGTCCAACTCTTGGTCTCTGCTCAGGTCTTGATCTCAGGGCCGCGAGTTTGAGCCCCACACTGGGCTCCACGCTGCGTGTGGATGCTTTAAAAACAAAAAAGCAATGGGGTGCCTGGGTGGCTCGGTCAGTTAAGCCTCCGCTTCTTGATTTCAGCCCAAGTCGTGATCTCCTGTTCATCAGATCGAGCCCCACTGCCAGCTCTGTGCTAACAGCGTGGAGGCCGCTTGGGATTCTCTCTCTGCCCCTCCCGCACTCCCTCTCTCTCAAAACAAATAAACTTTTAAAAAATGTTTAAAAGAACAAAAACAAACAAAAAGCAAAACAACAAAAGACCTGGAAGGTATTTTCAGTCCTTTGGAGACAGTCTTTGAGAGGGTCCACTGTCTTCCGGGTGGTGGCCTCCCTGGAATAAATCCCATTCTTGTTTCACCATGACTCCTCTCTGCCTTTGGGTTGTGTGGAACCTGGTCTGAATGGGTCCCTCCGAGCTGGGTGCCTCTGCACCCTGAGTCCTGGCTGCAAGGCGACAGTCAGTCCAGCCCTGTTACACCTTGCTGGCTTCCCAAACTTCTGGTCGCAGAGCATGAACACACAGCCCTCATTCTGGAGAAGAGACGACTAGTGTTCTCTGTGGCTTCGAGGCCAAGCCCTAATTTGGACTTCTTTTTCGGAGTTATCCAATGTCAACTGTGGGAAGGAGGCTGGGAATCTCACCGGACGATTCTCTGGAGAGCCGTTTGCCCCTTTGGCCCCGTCACTAATACCTCCCTGCAGGGGCAGCCTTCTGCTCACTTTTCTGTCCTTCCTGGAAAGACTGCCCTTAACTGGGCGAGGTGTGACCCCTGACCCTGCCTCACGACACACATACTCATTCCCCAAAGTGCTGGCACTTCATCTCACTCCCCCCAAAACAAACAGGCCAGGCTTTGCGTGCAACAGAAATGCCTCTAGTCCTCAGCTGGACGAGAAAACAGTAGCCCCTCGTGGAGGAAATCCTCCCATGAAGTATGCAAAGGTCAACTCTCATTGCGCACTTTAAATAATCTTAGTTTTGTCAGGGATGCCCCAGGGAAACTGGGAGGACACGGAAGCCCCCACCCCAACTCCCCTCCTCTCTACTCTCTACCAAAGCCAGGGCACAGGCAAAATACCAAGAAAGAAAAGCCGCTCAAGTTTGTGGCAAAAGTCATAGTCCCCAACATCTGTTCTCACTTTCCTCCTTCTCAGAGAATTTCTGAGTATTCTCCAAGCACAAGGTCGCCCAAATAAAAACCAAATAAAAAAGGTTCCACTTTCTCTTGCAGCGAGACACTTGCCCGTGACTAAGTTCTGGCCAATGAGATGGGACGGGGAGCAAAGGGGGTAAATCCAGGATTACCCCCTTGAAAGAACGCTCCACTCCCTTTCCCAACTTGCTGTTAGGCACGGGTGGTAACCCACGTTACGTTGGTTAGGAGTCACTGGACCACCTCAAGGCTCACAACCTCACCATCACTGCCTCCACTTAGCTATGTGGACTTTCTGCGCTTTTTACAGCTTTACTGAGGTATAACTGACAAATAAAACTTGTATGTAGTTAAGGTATACAATTTGATGTTTCAATTTACATCTAGCGTGACATCACCACAATGAAGCTAATGAACGTTATCGATCACTTCACATAGTTACCACTTTTCTTTATTTTTGTGTGGTGAGCACACTGAAGATCTACCTTCCTCGCAACTTTCAAGTATACATACAGTATTGTGAACTATAGTCACAGTGCTGTCCATTTTTAAATAAAGGGTAAGTAAGTCCCAGGGCGCCTAGGTGGCTCAGTGGGTTAAGCGTCGACTTTTGGTCCCAGCTCTGGTCATAATCTCATGGTTTCTGAGTTCAAGCCCTGCACTGGGCTCTGTGCTGACAGTGCAGAGCCTGCCTGGGATCCTGTCTCCTCCCCTCTCTTTCTCTAAAAAATAAAAAATAAACTTTAAATAAACATTAAAAAAAAAAGCTAAGTAAATTTCCAGCTTGCCCATTAAAGCAACCAAATCAGTGCCCTAACAAATCAAAGCTACTTACAAGATTTAACCTTTTTTAAAAAAATTTTTTTAAGTTTCAGGGTGCCTGGGTGGCTCAGCCAGTTGGGCATCCCTTCGGCTCAGGGCATGATCTTGCAGTCTGTGAGTTCAAGCCCCGCGTCAGGCTCTGCATTGACAGCTCAGAGCCTGGAGCCTACTTCAGATTCTGTCTTCCCTCCCCCACTCACACTCTGTCTCTCTCTCTCAAAAATAAAATAAAAACATAAAAAGTTTAAAAAAAATTTTTTTAAGTTTTATTTGAGAGAGCATACACACGAGTGGGGGAGGGGCAGGGAGGAGAGACAGAATCCCAAGCAGGCTCCACACCATCAGCACAGAGCCCCATGCAGGGCTTGAACTCACAAACTGTGAGATCAGGACCTGAGCCGAGACCAACAGTCAGACGCTTAACTGACTGTGCCACCCAGGCGCCCCTCGCCTGCTTCTTTTAAGGTCATCCCAGGGACCCAGGCCCACTGTCCACACAGCCTTTCTGTTTTGGAGTAGTTACAACTTCTCACACTCCCCCATCCATTGAGTCCCCGAGAGCTTCTCAAGAGCAGAAAGGCTTTTATTTCCAATGAATCCTCTGCAGATCCTAGCAGATCCTTCCTGGATGGCTGCTGACTGGCTCAGTGTCAAAAGTGGATGGGATACAGGGTGAAGAGAGGGACAGGGAAAGAGAGAGATCTCTCAGGCCAATAAAAATATTTTATATAGTATTCACACTATTAGCTCAGTTATCCAGAGTACATGAAAAGGAAAAAAGAATCCAAAGCAGTAAGGCGATACAAAGTAACCAACTCCATGGATCCTATACTGGGATGAGATATTTTAATCTGATGGTGGTACATAATACTGTTCAGGGAGCACTCCCAGCTCCAGGAGTTCCCCTCCGCATTACAAGGAAGTTCTCAAAAATACCCGTATTTGCTAGAGGCTGGCCCCCTGCTCACGGGAGGGAGAGGGGCTGGAACGGGCAAAGCATTGAGGTCTGCTCTCTCGTCACTCGTAGATCCAGTTCTGAGCACAGCTCTTGTAATCCACCAGCTCTTCAGGCTGAAACCACAAGCCAATCTCCTTCTCCGCACTTTCCACGGAATCACTGCCATGGATGATGTTCCTGGAAGGGGGAAGAGATGGCCACGTTACCGAGACCCAAAGGATTTAACTGCCCAGGAGCTCCCCCTGACACCCACTGCCAGACAGCTCGCAGCCACTGCAGCAGAAAGAACCAAAGCTCCGTGTACATTAGTTCGTGTTAAAAGAAAAAGCCCACAGCTGCAGTTAAGGTCAGGATGAAGGATGCCCTCCCCATATCCGGCCCTCCTAGCAACACTGATGCCAGCAGTGAACGGGTTCCGGCCAACAAGGTATGCTGTCCCAGGCCCTACCCTCTCGAGAGAGGCACAACCACCGTGATGTCGATGGCCGGTGGCAGGGAGCTCTCCAGGCCAGACACCAAATTCAGAGGGAGAAACACAATGAACTTATTTTAAATTCATCTGCATATGGCATCATGTCCATCCCAGACTCAGGAACCCAAATGTTTTTTTAATATTATTATTTTAAAGTAGGCTTCATACCCAGTGCAAAACCCAGCATGGGGCTTGAACTCACGGCTGTGAGATCAAGACCTGAGCTGAGATCAAGAGTCGGACACTTAACCGACTGAGCCACCCAGGTGCCCACCCCCACCTTTTTTTTTTTTTTTTTTTTTTTTTTTTTTTTTTAAATTTTTTTTTTCAACGTTTATTTATTTTTGGGACAGAGAGAGACAGAGCATGAACAGGGGAGGGGCAGAGAGAGAGGGAGACACAGAATCGGAAACAGGCTCCAGGCTCTGAGCCATCAGCCCAGAGCCTGACGCGGGGCTCGAACTCACTGACCGCGAGATCGTGACCTGGCTGAAGTCGGACGCTCAACCGACTGCGCCACCCAGGCGCCCACCCCCACCTTTTTAAAAGATTTTTTTAAAGTAATCTCTGCACCCAACATGGGGCTCCAACTTACAACCCCAAGATCAAGGGTCACATGTTCTACCAACTGAGCCAGCCGGGTACCCGAGGAACCCAAATTCTTGTGTCACCTAACTCAGATTTTGGAAGAAGGCAAAAGCACCAACTCTCACCTGCCAACTTGGATGCAAAAGTCTCCACGGATGGTCCCGGGCTTGGAGTCCGCAGGGTTGGTCTCTCCCAGCATCACCCGGCCTGTCTTCACCACATTCAGCCCCTCCCAGACCTCCAAGGATAAAAGAACATATGGTCAAGGAAGAAAACCAATCTCAGCAGAAAATCTGAAAACTATTAATTCAAAACAAGAAAACAAAAAAGCCCCCTTAACACTGAAGAAATGTTTATGGAGCATCTGCTTATTCCAACAACGGGAATACCAGTCTCCCTGCCTCCACTCCTGCCTTTCTACAATCCCTTCTGAACAGAGCAGTCTCTAAAAATGCCCAGTGTAAAACCTCCCAGGCATTCGTCCCAGAGCCCACGAAGTACATGGCCGACACAGCCCTACCTGATCTGGCCCCTGCCCGTATCTTTGAACTCATGTCATCTGACCTTCTCTTCTACCCACCAGGCTTCAGCCACTCCAACCTTCCTTCTGTCCTTCAAGAGCCCAGGCCCTCTGCACATGCTGTTTTCCTGCTGAGAATGCTCTTCAGTGTGATTTGTGTACGTCTGGCTCCTTCTCACTCAGATCTCAGCTTGAAAAGCGTGTTCCTTGACCACCCAATCTAAAGCGGTCACTTGTCACATCATCCTCTTTCATTCTGTGCAAATCACTGATCACTAGCTAATAGATATACATATATATATATATAAATATAAATAAATATATATACATATGCATATGTAGATATATATATGTTTCTTCATTATGTGCCTGTCTTCCCCTTCAAGATGTATAGGCAAGGAAAGCTATGAAAATAAGTTCCTGTGTTGTCTCATTCATGACTATATCCCCAGCGTCTGGAAGAGAGTGTGGCACAATGAGGACCACCCATATATACTGCAATAGACAAGAGACAATCTGCCTCCCTCCAGAAGTGCAGAATCAGGCAGACTCTCCCGATCGCTCCCAGCTTTGAGTCGCGATGAGTCTTCAGTTCAGCAAACAAATGTATTTTATGTTTGGTGGGTCAGAGAGCCGACTCACATCCTAACTGTCCAATCCTCCCAGCCCCCACTCCCTCTGTATTAAGTGAGGACTTGGTGTCAGAGGCAACAATCACAGCGCACACTCTTGGCTCCCAACTGAGTCATTCGCATCAATACCCCCACACATGCGCACTCACCATGGCAACCACAGGCCCTGATTGCATGTACTTCACCAGGCCGGCAAAGAATGGACGGTCCTTCAGGTCAATGTAGTGTTCCTTGAGAAGGTCTTCGGAAGCCTATTTCACAGAACAGAGGATGAGAACTGACCCTCAAACTATCTAAGGATCAGCCATCTAGTTATTTCCCACTCACTGCTGTTTGAAATGTGAGCTCGTAGCACACTGATTCTGTTACAAACCAATCCATTCCCAACACGACCAGAGGGGAGCTGTGCCAGAGACTAAAAGTGCATCAGCTTTGTACCAATGTCCCCCCTACTGGCCTTGGCTGATCAGAACAGAACCACAGAACATTAGAACTGAATCCAGCCATCCCAACTCAGACAGGAAAACTAACAATACAATGAATTTCCATTCATTGAGAGTAAGCCTCAGCTAAAACGTGAAAAGGAAGTCAGGGTTGGGGGGGGGTCTTGGCAATGGATGAGAAGCAAATCGAACCCGGCCACTTCTCAGGGATACTTCAGATTTATTCAGAAGATGAAGGCCGGGTATGGCAACTATGCGATTTCCACACAAACCACTCAAAAGAGCGTGACATCTGGGGCCCCTGGGTGGCTCAGATGGTTAAGCGTCTGACTGTTGGTATCAGCTCAGGTCATGATCTTGCGGTTTCATGGGTTGGAGCCCCACGTCTGGCTCTGCGTTGGCAGCATACAGCCTGCTTGGGATTCTCTCTCTCTCTGTGTCTCTCTCTCTGCCCCTCCCCTGCTAGCGCTGTCTCTCTCTCAAAATAAATAAAACTTTAAAAAAAGAGGGGGGGGAAGATGACATCTATCAATAAATAATTTTGATGAAGAAGGAACTAGAAACTGTCACACTGCCAAGGCCGGTATGTGGGACCAAATCAAATTAGCTGGAGAGGAAACCACCTGCCTAGCAATCCCGACTCACCCAGCTGTGTTCTCTCTTTGCCACTGCACACACACTTGTTCAGGGTCTAACAAGGACCCTTAGTTTTCCCAGTTCTGTAGGACTGCATTGTGGAGGGCACACTGCAGGGATACCCACAAGCGTGGACATCTGCTGCCAAAAAGCACATTCAGAACATCCTGCCGCTCAGCCTCTGGTTGATACTTACTTGCCAAAGTAAAATCACACAGCCGCGTGATCACGCCATGTTAGCAATTCACCCTCTCCCACCAACCCCCAATCCAAATGGAAGACTGGTAGGGGTAGCCTCCGGACACACTGACTTGACCTTCCCTTACCAGAACACTCTTTTAATTCTAGTCATTGCTTCTGATTATCTTTAATCTGCAGACCAGATTACAGCGTGTTTTTTTTTTTTTTTTTTTTTTTTTTTTTTCTGGAAGAGGGGACATCAGGTCTTTCCTCCTCCAAGTCACCTATAAACAACCCTAGACTCAAGGCAGTCATCCCTCGCCCCATTCTTCACCAAGCCCACACCCTGGATGGGAACTTGGTATAACAGGAAAAATACACACACTTAAGAGTCAGAGAGACCCGGGTTAAAATCTTCCCTACATCACTGACTGCATGCCTTCAGATTCATTACTTAACCTCTCCAAGCCCCAGGTTCCAACGACCACAGGCATAGAGATAAGTACACCTCTGGGTCATCGTGAGGGCTACAGAAAACACATGCGTCCAGCACATGTGATCAACAATACTGTTCATTTCGCTTTACCTTCAAAACCTAATTTAATATGCAAACTCTCTGGAAAGCAGTACTGACCCGATACCCGGCACTAATGATTCCATCACGTACCCCCCTCTGCATTAACACCCATCTACCCCCGCCCCTTACACTAAAGCAGTTTTCCCAAAACACCACGCGGGAACTAAATTGCAAACCAAATTCCATTTAAAATGCACCAGCAGAGTCCAAAGATGACTCTAGTGCTGGGAAAAAAGACTGTCCCCTAATTTATCTGCTCTGAGAATTTGAATTCTCATTTGCCAGGTCTGTCTGAAAAAGGGTTCTTGGCCAATTAATTCTTTTCATTTTTCCGGAATACCGCTTGGCAGGTGTGTTGAAAATGTGTCTGTTCTCTACTGTTTTCGGGGGGGCTTCCCCAAGACCAAAACCACAGCTTTCCCCCCAACATCCCCTGATGGCACTTAATATATGCCACATACTAAGTGGGCGGTAAGTAAGGACAGATAGATTTCCTTGCTGACAAACAACCTGCCTCAGAGAGGGAGGTGGGGGAGGGGAGAAGCTCTCTGAAATAATCTGCTCAAGAAGTTCAAGACCAGGAGCTCAAACATGCCCAGGGCTTTGAGTCAGAAATCACAGTGCTGCGGTAATATATGGAACTCTGCATTGCTAAAGGGAAAGGGAGGCTATTTCCAAAGTCCCAGTAATTGGTTTGTTGCAAGACAGCCACAACGCCAGCTGAGTTGTTTCCAGGTCTCAGGACATCTGTGTTCACCCTTCGTGGGGAAGACTACAAAGGAGGGGAAGGGAGAAACCGAGAGGCTAACGTACAACGTTGCCCTGTACTCCGAGAGAACAGAAATATGAAGAATGAAGTCCACTTACCTGAATTAATTTCATAGCAACGAGGCGGAATCCCTTTTGCTCAAAACGCTTGATGATCTCTCCCACGAGGCCGCGCTGGACCCCATCAGGCTTGATGGCAATGAAGGTGCGTTCGCTGTTGGCCATGGTCCTGAGGATAGACAGCTGCAGGGATGAAACAGCACTGAATATCCTGCCTACATCATTATCCTTCTCAAGCGGATTACCCCATAAAGCTGGTTTATATCTGTCAAGCCAACTCCAAAAGTCTCTTTGGTAAAAAAAATGCGTTCACCACAAGTGCCGCACTGAAAATACTCTAGAAGAGCACACGTATAAAAAATGTTCCTAAAGGGGGCACCTGAGTCAGTCAGGCTCAGGTCATGATCTCAGTTTCATAAGTTCGAGTCCCACATCAGGTTGTCTGCTCACCGCGCGGAGCCTGCTTGGGATTCTCCCTCTCTCTCTGCTCCTCGTCCCGTCGTTTGCACTCTGTCTCTCTCAAAATAAATAAATTAAAAAGAAAAGAGGGGGGCCTGGGTCGTTCAGTCAGTTGAGCGCCAACTTTGGCGCAGCTCATGATCTCACAGTTCATAAGTTCAAGCCCCTTGTCTGGCTCTGTGCTGACTGCTCAGAGATTGGAGCCTCCTTCAGATTCCGTCTCCCTCTCTCTCTGCCCCTCCCCACTCATTCTCTCTCTCTTTCTCTCTCTCTCTCTCTCTCAAGAATAAAATAAACGTAAAAAAAAGGACATTTTGTTAAAAAAAAAAAAAAAGTACCTAAAGGAAAAAAGAACTTTCCCTAAAAGAAAAAACAAAGAAACCCAAAAACCCAATTCCTCCTCAGTGCCCTTAATTCTGAATTAATATCCCAGGATGGGGGAGTGTGCAAAAGCAGGGACCATAATTTCTATGGCATTTGACTTAATAAGCTTCTATTAAGCATCTATTTTGTACCCAACACTGTGGCAGAACTAAGGTAGGGGATGTTAAAAAAAAAAAAAAAGAAGAAGACATTTTGTGAATAATCCAGAGAAGGGAAACTAGAGGGATAAAGTGGTGTCAGGCAAAAAGCAGAATGAAACGGTCTGACCTACTACCACAGTCATGGTATTGGAACTGAAAGGGGTTTTAGAGATTATTTCATTGGAATCCCCTTCATTTTACGAACGAGAAAACAAATCTAGGGCACCAGAATGAAGGCCAAATTCCCAATTTCCCGATGCAATTTATGCTCCATCATAAGACATCATGAAGATTCTGACAAACCAAAAAAAGGTGGATCCTGAGAGAACTAGGGCCATGTGAGATGGGACATCGTGCAGGAAAGAGGCCTAGACAATGTCTATCCCAGACCTCGCCTTTTACAGAGAAGACTGGGCTCATGACCTGCTCTGTCTACACAAGATGAGAATGGAGGAGGCCCCTGACCTTGAAAGACAATCCCTAATGTGGATCGCCACACCACCTCCTGGCTCTCTCTTCCTGTACTTTAACCTCTTATTACAGCACCTTAACATAATTTGAATTTTCTGTTTGTGGGTCTGTCTCCCCACTGGTCTGCGGCCTGTATACAAGTATGGTTTACTGCTGTGTCTGTCCCTGGCACCTAGCCTCCTGGCCCAGCACTCAATAAGAGCAAAGAAAATATCTTAAATGGTAATCACCCTGCACCTCCGAGAAAAAGAGACAAAGCCCAAGGGCTGGCGGAGAACTCCCAATGGAAGCTCGAGACAGGCAGAGATTCCACAAGAGAAAATGGGGGTAAGGAGCCAAAATACTCCTTATACCCATACGGTGAATTCCTATAAATGTCCACCATACCAACCCAGACACACACCCGTCATTCATTCATTCATTCATTCATTCATTCATTCATTCA